GTGGTCAGGCGGAATATATACTTTTTTATTCTGCTTATATTCATTCTAAGAAATTAACTGTAAGAACTATCATCACCTAGAAAAATAGGTTTAGGATTCTCTATTCTAGGCCTGATTTACAGAGTCCTAATGAACTTAAGCAGATTTGATTGTATGATCATTCCATGCACTAATTTTTAGTGTAAGATGACATTTCGCCATATACATTTTAGGTCCTCATTGAATGTCGTGGCTTTGAATCTTTGCTAGATAAACTATAACTCAATTATTAGTAGTAAGATCTTTTGCAATTTCTTTTTTAGTTGTGCATGTAAGTTAGGATATGAACTACTTAGCAATAAAAATAAAACTATTTTGAATGTATTGGAAATTTGTAAGGTTTTGGAAATTTTCCCTAACCTATGAAAATCATTAAAATATGTCTTACTACATTACTGCTTAGGCCCCTATTGCAGGATTATTTAGACTTGTTTAGAAATGGTATGTGCTTATAGGATTACATTTTATAATTTAGAGTTTCTAGAACCTATTTAAAATATAAAGTGAAAATAATTTTTCTCTGATCTATCACCCACACATTTTCTCTTATCTATGACACAGACAAATATTTATCTAATTTGTTTTTTATAAGTATTGAGCAGCAGTGAGTTAAAATTGTACTCTGTCTGAAGCATGGGAATTTTGAGGTTTTTGGAAAAGTCATGACACATTTTTGCAATGAAAAACATAGAAAAAATACGCCATGACTTTTCCGACAACTCAATATATTTGACTAAGCATTTTATTAGATTATCCGTCCCAGCATTATAACTAAGTTACAGCTACTCTTAGAAAGCCCAGCATGGTGCTTTTCCTTTCTTCTCCTATTAAACCACTTGGGCATTGATGCTGGGTCAAGTCGCCTTATCTCCATCCTCAGACAAATAAGGATTGGGAGCTTAAGCCCTAGTTCCAGAACCTGAAACTAGTATAAGGGTGTAGTGTCACATGCCCTTCTATTTAGTCACCTGTCTTCATTAGACTTTCGGACTTCCATAAAAAATGGTCAGTCCTACCAATAGCTAGGCTGACTATGAAAGCATAATAGTAAGGCAGAATATTAAACTCTAGACTATCTGAACTTCTAGAGCTGCAGAGGGAATATAATTGTAACTCACTGCTGCTCAGTACTTATCAAAATTACCTNTGTAATTTTCTTCACTTGTTTCAGGTATTTTCTTGTTCCACTTTTACTTTCAAGTTACTTCCAAACCTGGAAAGCCCTATTCACTGCTTCTGCCCCTCCCCATTGCCCTATTGCAGTCAACTAAGTATTATTTCTTCCTTCATGTAAACTGCTGCTTCTTTACAGTCATCAGAGAAGAGCAAAAACAACCCAGACTCATGTGCCCAGACTAGAAAATTATCTGTTAAGGGTTGCTCTCTCTGTTCCCTTACCCACTATCAGGGTGATATAAATAAGTTATTATTGATTTCTACAAATTAAAATTTTTGTTCTGCTGTAAAGAAGAATATTCTTTGACTCCTAAAGAATAGCTTGCTTAAAAACATCATGCTCATTATTAAAATCATTAAGGAAATATGATAGTAGTTCTTGAATATCTTTTCATTCTTTTGGTTCAATTTTACTTACGACCTTTAGATGAATATGCACATCTTTAAATACTGATATTCTAGTGAAATCTAGAAATACTTTGTCATTGTTAAAATTTGTTTGGTTTAAGGTTGTAAGCTAATAGTCAAAGGAAAAGCAAAAAAAAAAATTATGTGATTCGTTTTATATGGCTCTTCATAGTTGCCGTGTTGAATTAGTTACTGAATAAATCCTTTCTGATAAACAAGATAGCTATAAAATTATACTGATTTTATGGGGGAGGGTCACTTGTACTGGGTTATTTAGAAAAAATATGCTAAAATAAGCCTTTATACAATCTTGTGATTTTTCACTCAGTAAAGAATTTACGTAGAGTTCAGGTTTCCATGAAGTAACATTTAATTGGCTTGTCAAAAAGAGCACAATGTCTTTATAACTGCCTTTAATGCCTTTATCTTTGCAGATAGCCAGTGCCAAGCATACTGTCTCCTAGAAGCAGCAGCTACTCCTATCTTAAAAAAACTTGTACACCTCTGTACTCTTCCTGTTGCTAATTGGAAATTTGCCACTGTTATTTTTGACCAAACAAGGTTCCTCTTAAAGGAACAAGAAAAAGTGATAAGTGATGCTCTTCACCAAGGTGAGTTCAAATAAAAGTCATTATTGAAAAAGGTATAAATTCATCAAATTAGTAAAAATTTAATATAGAAGTTGCAGAAATTAGTCATGGATGAAGGCAAAACTATAACTCAGCATATGGCACCCACAAACCAATACTAGAGGATTGGCTAAGTAAGGAGGAAAAGGTAAAAAATATCATCTGGCATTGCTTCTTAGTGAAGCTGTGTTGACATATGTTACTTGACAGATTCCTATTGCAGAAACCAAATTAACCCTAATAGTGTTAGTATCTGAACCACCTCGTTTCCTCCCAAAAGCGGGGGAGGTCAAAAAATAGATTAAAGTCATTTCTGGACTTTTGCTTCTGGTCAAGATGGAGTAACAGATATTGGATTACCTTCATACCAGAAATATAGAGGAAAAAAATGACAAAGACAAAACACATGGAACCAGTTTTTAAGAGCCTAGACATCAAGCACTGAAGGACAGGGGTTCCTGAGAAATGGGAAACAAGTGAGGGGAGCCTACCGTTGCTCTAGCTTACTGCTTGAAAGAGGTGCCAGGCCATGTGGCACAGGCAGAGCCTGNTTTGCTTCTGGTCAAGATGGAGTAACAGATATTGGATTACCTTCATACCAGAAATATAGAGGAAAAAAATGACAAAGACAAAACACATGGAACCAGTTTTTAAGAGCCTAGACATCAAGCACTGAAGGACAGGGGTTCCTGAGAAATGGGAAACAAGTGAGGGGAGCCTACCGTTGCTCTAGCTTACTGCTTGAAAGAGGTGCCAGGCCATGTGGCACAGGCAGAGCCTGGAGGATAATCTGAGTTAAGGAAACAGAATTGAAAAGCCAGGGAGACCAAGGCAGCTAGAGTTCAAAGGGTGGAGTATTAGACAGCAGAAGGCTTCACACAGAGAGGCCTGGAGATCTGCAGAGTCTCCCTCAAGTATTCACCAGAGTGCTGATAATCAGAGTACATGTGAGGCTGGAGAACTACCTGAGGCTGGGGAAGCAAACCACCTGAAAGGATTGAGGGACTAGTACTCTGCGTTCACACAGGGTAGAGAATGATGCCTGTTCCCACCATCTAGACTAGGAAAACTCAGAATTTGAGGAGTAATGAGTACAGTACTTAGGGAAGTTTGGCCTCTCTAGTGGACAATGATTATCCCTAGGCTTGGCAGTGCTCTGAACCTTGCTAACAAACCATAAAAGCAAGACCCAAAGGATCAAACTATTTCCAAGGAGCTTAACTGCATCTCAGAACAAAGCTTAATAGGATTTATATGAATACAAAAATATCTAGTATCCAAAAAGGTGAAATTCACAATGTCTGTCAAAGATTATCAGGCATAATAAGAGACAGGAAAACACAATCCATAAAGAGAATAATCAAAACAAACTCAGAACTGACAAAGACGTTAGCATCACCAGAGAAGGAAGGACACTAAAACTTATAATCGTGTCCCATATGTTCAATTATTTAGAAACATAAAAAAGACACAAATCAAACTTCTAGAGTCTACACAACAATGTATGAGATGAAAAAAGTGCTGGATGGGGTTAATGGCAGGTTAAATATTGCAGAAGAAAATATTAACTTGAAGACATAGCAACAGAAACTGTTAAAATAAAATACAGGTAGATAAAATAATTTTTAAAATGAAAGAAAAGGGGGCTGTGAAACAACTTCCAATAATTACTATACATTTGTCTTATGTTACTGATTGGATCAGCAATTTTCAAACGTTTTAGCAGAACTGTTCAAATAAATTTTTCATGGGATCCCACTATATAAAGCAGAGAAAAGTCGAGCTGCTCTTGTTAAACTGGGGCAGTGGGTCCTGTCTTCTTGGTCTCACTTTTGCACATCTATCCAATCTATCACTGTCAAAAAGCTCTGGAACTACATGGACACATTAATTAGACA